TTCCCCACCACCTGAAATGTCATTATAGGTGGCATGTTATTAAGTGCAAAAGCAACAGCAATCCTCTCGTTAGCATCTATGCAGCTCATGCCCAATGTCCCTCCGATTTCTTTGTAATCTGATCTGAGAAGCATTAAATTGTGGGAATTGAGGATGTCAAGTGTCTCCTGCCACGAACTCTACTATATTATCTACCTCAATTGAACTGCATCCAGATGTTTTCTGCACTCCCCTCTTAATCATCAACAGCGGCACATATCCACGACATCCCAGTCATTTTGATGATACATAGATTGGACAAAAAAGAACACATAATTTTCCCCATGACCCGGGTTAACTCCAACAGATTCTGGGTCATGTGCTTACTGAGTTCGGTGTCCTTGGCATGCTCACAGATGACTTCCCCTTTCAAATTTGGTGTCACAGGCATGGTCTTTTTGAGTTCTAATACTCAACCCAGAAGGTCAACCATGCAGCCATAATGTTCAATTCCGGGTTCAACCCCCATACATGGAATGCATTTGGGAGAAATATCATTCACCAACAGAAACGAAGCCTGAATGGTGACGCTCACGCAACAGCCCAACAAAGGTGACCTTATATAGATTTATCCCCTCGACTGAATCAAAGACATCATTGGCTTCCTAGCTGTAATGCCCATAACCATGCAATCCTGATTATACAATGACAGAGTTCCAGCAAAAGATGTTCTTCAGAGGAAGGAAATGAAAGACATCATGTGCAGGTTCCATACTCCCCACACTTGCAATACATGTCTATAAGAGCGGTAACTAAAACAGCACCAATTTACATGTTTTCTCTTCTAATGTTAATAATGTGAGCATGAATCAGTTCAACAATGTCTGAAATGCCGAGATGAGCATAATTGCAGATAGCAAGTTAAGTTAGCTAACAAGTAACCATAGGTGGACTTAAAATGATGCATGTGTTTGATAGTCATTGCGTGCATCTGGAGTTTGCAAAACATTCGATAGATCAAAGTTGCCTGCTGCCGGTGAATTGATTCATCATTACCAAAACAATATACATATATATATATATATATATATCCAATCCCACCTCAACAAACAACCACTGACCCAACTTACAGAATCCATAACTGACTCAGAAGCAGTGTTAACTCAATTTGGAATAGCAACTTATAATGAAATTCTGAACATGAGTTCCACTGAGGCATACCTTCAAACAGATTCTGTTCGTCCTTTTGTTTGACCAACACAGATATCATTGCATTCTTCGCCATGGCACTGACATTTGCTGAACACTCTCCATTCTCAAATCTCCTACCCTTGCATAAAAAAACACAAATAGCCCAGTTCGGATTGTTCGCAATTGAAACAAGGAAAAACAAACAACCCAGTTCGGATTGTTCGCATTTGAAACAGAGGATTAGAGGCAACGTTCTTTCACTGAAAAATAAAAATCAAATCATTATAATTTATAACCTTTCCAAAAAAAAATAATCATTATAAATAAGTCTAGAAAATCTAAAAATTTTCGGCTTCTAAACCCAAAGGACTTCTTAGCCCAACAGTTCAACCAATGAGTTGGGCCTCTGTATCATAACTCAAGCCCATTACCATCCAATTCCAAGAAATGAATCGGGAATGAATTTTTTTTGTATTTGGTATTTCAACTATTTATAGTTACATTAAAGTAAATAAATAAGGGTCTTCACATTTTTCTAAAGACTGTTTTTTTATTTTTATTTTCTTTTCGAAAATAAAAATATTTTATTTAGGATATTTTTGCTACCTTAATTTTCTTTTCTTTCTTTTTTGATACCTTATTAGAATTATGAAAAAGTAATTGGAAGAGAGTATAATGAAATTTGCCAAAAAAAAAAAAAAGATGAAGAAGAAGTATTAAAAATGAAAATATGGGATATTTAGTGGTACTTTATCTTCTTTTTAAGTAGAAAGTTGATGATTCAAATTCCCACTGGGACAAGTGGGTGTGTTTCTTGTTTCAAAAAAACAAGTGTGATAATAGAGAGAAATAGAGAGATTAAAAGGTGATTAGAAATTCAAGATAGTTTTAAAATTTTGAATATACAAAATGAAAATTTTTAGAGGGCAAATTTAAAAAAATAATAATAAAAATAAAAATTTGAGGGGCACTTGAACCCTAGACCGTGCAACTCTATTGTATTTTTATTTATTTATTTATTTTTGCAATTTAGGCTTATAAATACTGGAGATATGAAAATATATGACGTAAGTTAAAATGACATACTTACCATTTTTTTTTTTTTTTTTTTTTTTTTTCACATAGGAGGTATTCTCACTCTTTACGGGTGAGACTAATATACCACATGCACGACAAAACCGAGTAAATCTAGGGCCTTTTCTGTATGCAAGCATGTAATTTCACATTCCAAATTTACAACTTGCACTCTACTCGATTTTTTAATGAAATAATAGTAATCCTAATAGATTATAAATACCTTTTAAGATATATGTAGTGTATGAGAATACTATTTCGATTGATCTTGAATGCAAGAGCAAGTTTGAGGAACAGTTTGTCACTTAATTTATATTTTTTAAAAATAAGATAAAAGTAAAAATGGGAGAGATTAATTTTCCTGATTCACTTTCTTATCTTAATGATATTTTCTTTATTTATTCAAGAAAATGATATAAGAGAGATTATAAAATAAATAATTTGACCAAAGAGATGCACATTTACACCACCCCGGCCACCACCACCGCTAACAACAACAACAATAATATTTTATTATGTTTTGTGTTTTTCCTTGACAAAAAAATCGAACTCAGTTATTTTTTACTCAAATCTTCACATTTCACTTTGAGTGATAAAAAAGATACCAATCCGACCATATTTTTATTGACTACTCCCAAAATGTTGAAATTGAGCTTCAAAACCGAAATATGTTACAAAAAAATAAAAATAAAAAATAATATTAAAACCATGATTATTTTAATATATTATTATTATTATTATTAATAAATTAGCATATCATAAGAGAGGTATCGAAGGACACAAGAAAGAGGGGCAGCAGGGAAGAAAGCAAGAAAACAAGCCTAAAAAGTAGAAAGGGGGCAGGAACTGCACCAATTCCAATTAGGAGGTTCAATTCCATCCAGCCAAATATAACCTAAGAATAATTTAGTAGTAATTTAAATATTAACATAATATGCGTCCATTTGATCAAAATACCTAAATAAATCCAAGACTTTTGGAAAAAAATAATTTTGTTACACTTATCAATCTACGGCCTAGGGGCAACCGTTTTAAATCCTTATTTTTTCAATAGGGGTTAAAAGTTCAAGCCTCCATATCAATTAATAAAAAATAAAAAATAATTTTGTTACTAAAGTCAAGACAAAATCAGAGAAAAACAGCAAATCAAGATTCAACAGGAAAGGTACAAGACCACATTTGTATTGTGCAGAAGTCTAGACATTTGGAGATGTCGACAACCTCATAACACGAGGGCCAATGCTTGTTGGCTCACACACACACACACACACAAAAAACTGGTGGTTGTCTGCTCAAAAGCCAAGAATCACAGATATCATCCACTGGAGGGAAAAATCAAAAGATTTGTCGAAAATGAGAGGTAACTATAAGTCCATGTGGTCGTGAAAAATTATCAACCACCAAAGTGTACCTCAACTATAATGAAAAAAATATCCACCTTGAGAAAAATAAAAATAAAATAAAATAAAATAATTACCAAAAATGAGAGGTAGCTATGAGTCCTCCATGTGTCCCTGAAACAATTATCATCAACCAAAGTAGACCTCAACTATCATCTCCATCAACCAAAAAAACGGAGGCAAAAAGTAAGACTCAAACCATATGATACGTATGAACAGCGGGCAGCATCTACACAACTTTGTCTTGGCAGCTCAAATCTTGAAACAGAAAACATAAGCATTGATAACAAAATTTGTTCTTGGTACACAAACATAGCCAGCCAAGAAACAATCAAGATACATGATAGAAAATAAACACGTCACACATGAAAAAAAAAAAAAAAAAAAAAAGAGGAAAAAAATTTAGTTTGATTCGGCAAAACCTATGATGACAGTGAAGAAGATCCGACAAAAGAATCCACTATACAAAAATCTAGAGATTATAAATATCAGCCCCCAAACCCTAACCTCGCTCATACTCTCTTTTGTACAATTTTCAGTGTCTCTAAAATTTCACTCTAAATCCCAAGTGTCCTCATATATTGGGTTACAAAGAGAGTACTGTACAGGGCACACGACTCACAAGCGAAAAAAAGAGGTCAAAAATTTTGATGGGTAAATGAAACCAGTGATTTGACTGACATCAGTTGTATTTCCCACAAACCATTTTTGACCTGTGTTTTTAACAATACTGTGAAGATAAAAGAGGATGAATGTCTTTCCTTAAAAGACAGGGATTATGTCTATAGAATGTTGCTTTAACTACAGACAGAAACATTATCATGCTGGGTGTGTCAATTATATTCCCAAGTTGGGGCAATTCAGTAGCTTAAAAGATTGCAAGAAACCAAGATAACTGAATATTCTTGTACAATAAAAGCCAGAATAATGCTAAGTGGGTTTAGAATTCAAAGCTCTTAAAGTATGTGCAACAGCCATCTATAAGATTCTGTCGGCATGACAGAACCTTGGGATGGTTTCTTTGAGATGATTCTACATGAATACATAAGAGTAATGATAGGCCCTCCCAAAATGGAACTTATACATTCCGAAACACCCAAATCCGGAGGAATGTATACATTCTGAAACACCCAAATCCGCTTGATGCATTGATGCGGGATATCCACAGAATGCATTGAAGTGAAATCCATGTAACTTCAAAACATCTAGGAATTGTTTCATCCTCTGGTTTTTGGAGGAATAATCTTCCAATACATAAAATTATCACTTTTAACATCACTAGAAGCAAAACGTGGTAAAATTACTGCATAGGTGCAACATTGTTGCGAGCAAACCAATTACAAGAACGCAAGATGGTAAAAAGGCAAGGGCGACATAATTTTGTATGGGGAAAAAATGAAGTAATCGAGTCCACGTGCCAAATAAAAACAAGTTTGTCAAATGAGGATATATTACAGATTATCAGAACAAACACAACATTTCATATATATGGAAAAAGAAAATGAAAAATGTACACAAACATGAGATAGTACGAGAAAATTGGCAACTTGCGAACGTTCAAGGAAGCTGCTCCTGCTCATGTTGCTGTTGTTGTTGTTGTTGATCACCTTGCCATACCCAAACAATATCTTGGAGCGCAGGTCTAATTCCCTCTGTCATTAGCTTCTGATATTCCAAAGTATCTCCATTAGATTTCTTCACCTCAACCAAATAAAAAGACGGAGTGACCTCAAAGATTTCTGCATCGATGGACAAGATCCCCTTTCTACCTTCCTTCGTTCCTTCCATCTTTAACAGCCCTTCATCTTTTTTCCCCACCTTCAGCATCAAACGCTTTGCAATTTCTTCTAGTTTAGAGATGATGACACGTGCAGGTTGCCGGGAAGAAAATCTTGCTTCTTTCTTTAGATAATGTTCCTTAAACAAACCATTTAGATCAAACCCAGCAGAAAGGGAGATGATATCAAAAGCATTCAAGTTGGTAGGCTTTGCTAGCTCTTGCTTTCCTTCAGCAGCCGTACTACCATTCTCGCAGGGACCAGAACTAGGATCTGTATTTTGAGGAGCCATCTCCTTGCTTTTTGTGTCATTTTTTGCTAGTTTCCTTTTAAACCAAGAATCAGAATGGGAGATGATATCAAAAGCATTTATGTTGGTGGGCTTTGCTAGCTCTTGCTTTTCCTCAGCAGCCGTACTGTTGTTCTCGCAGGGACCAGAACTAGGATCTGTATTTTGAGGAGCCATCTCCTTGCTTTTTGTGTCATTTTTCGATAGTTTGGTGATCAATCCCCCTTTAAACCAAAAACTTTCCTTAATTTTGGAGATGGAAATTCTAGTATGGGGATTTGGATCCAACACACGTGACAGCAGCCTGCATACTTCTGCTGGGAACCATCTCGGGCATTTATACTCTGCTCGGTCAATTTTCCTATACATCTCCATTAAATTAGAATCATGAAATGGGAGATAACCAGCCAACAGAACAAACAAGACCACTCCACATGACCAAATATCAGCTTTGGCCCCATCATAGCCTTTCCTTTTAATCACCTCAGGGGCAACATAGGCAGGGGTGCCACAAGTGGTATGGAGCAGTCCATCTTGGCGCTTTGATTCAGCGAGGGCACTTAAACCAAAATCAGAAACCTTCAGATTATCGTTTTCATCCAACAGTAAGTTTTCTGGCTTCAAATCACGGTGATAGACACCCCTACTGTGGCAGAAATCAACAGCATTGATTAACTGTTGAAAATATTTTCGAGCAGCATCCTCCTTTAGCTTTCCTTTAGCCACCTTGTTAAAAAGCTCACCGCCTTTAGCATATTCCACGACAAAATAAATCTTGGTCTTGGTGGCCATGACTTCATAAAGCTGCACAATATTAGGATGTCTGACCAATCTCATAACAGAAATTTCTCGCTTGATCTGATCAACAAGCCCACCCTTCAAAACCTTCTCCTTGTCTATTACTTTAATAGCTACACTGTGCCCAGTTACAAGACTCCTCGCATAGTAAACCTTAGCAAATGTGCCTTGACCAAGCAATCTCCCTAATTCATATCTTTGCATCAACACACTTCCTTTATTATCCATTCAAGAACTAGAAAATCTAATATAGGATAATATGCTATTTCTCTCCTGCTTATTATATGATATATGGAATCTACTGTACAGGAATAATTAACAGCACAAGCAGTTCAACCGTCTTCACAGAGGTCGTGCGTTAACACAATCGGAGCTTCAGAAATTGTAGGCCAATTGTGCTGTGGGGCAAAGGGAGCCAATGAGCCATGATCTACACACCCAGCATCAGCAAGGATGTAGAAGGACAGCTCTAGGGCAAATACCTTGTGGACTTCAGAGAAAGGATTCTGAGCACTAAAGCACATCTTTCAGCATTCCCTGAATTTTCTCTTTCAAATATCTACTATATAATGCTGAAAAATATAAAGAACAATCAATTGAAGAATCCTCAGCATAGTAGTTGAAGATTTAAGGAGAGAAATGGTAAGAATTCAAAGCATAAGCCAACAAAAGATATAGGCCAGAAGAGTGAGAGATAACAACGAGAAACATGTTTATGCTTCAAAAAAATAGAACCAGACAATGAACTGAAGAGATATTCAATAAGTTTCTGATTCAAATAACTGAATAGCTGCCAATTTACAACTTTGTGCATTTATAAGGTTCTAACTATTGTTGAACCCTAAACTATATAAAAAGGCAATTGCCCAATGTGGTCTCTATTAATTGAGGGTCCTGGAAAGGACAGACAACGAAATTACCTAACCTTTATCATCACGCTCGGCAGACTAAAGTTTTACAAATGAACCAAGCTTTGTTTGGATTTTAGGCTATAAAAAACACAGGAATAATGCTTCAACAAGTGGATGCAAACAAAATAGTCCGAAAAGATGCAACAACTGTTTTGGTTACTTTAGCTTTTATGTCAACAACAAATAAACAGGAAATTTCAAGAAATAAGAATCACATACCTGCTTACTGAAACTATTTCTTATAACCAGCATACAAAGTTCGGTAAGTACCTACACCCAGAAAAAAGAAAACAAAAAACAAAAAAGGGTTTTTTAAGGGTATTTCCAGCTTACAAACTGTTCTGCATATATATATATATAACCTTGCCCATTTCGGCATTCTTTTTAAGAAATTCATAAATCTAACCCGTTTCCTGCCCCCGACAAGCAATAGAAAAAAAATTGTGAAAAAAAAAATGGATCAATTCTACTTATCGTTCATATATAGATAGGACTCTATTTGTTTATATTTCTTTCTTCATTTTCTGGTGTAAGATGTAAACACCAACTGATCCATTGTGTAAGAAGCAAATTGATTCTTTTTCTGCCAAACAAAATTGAAGTGCCAAATTCATAAATTGAAACAAAAACCAAAACATTTAAAAAGAAATAAAAAATCTTTGATAATTTCACAATTTGGATGAAAATTAATTTCGGAAAAGTAATTCACAGATCAAGTACATGAACAAATAGAACCTCCCCAATATCATATCGCTACAATATACGAGTCCGCATAAATACATATACAAAAGAAGCAAATTTTCCATAACATGAACAACCTCAAAAATAGACAGGACTTGAAATCAGAGTCAATGAGTCATACAATTTAATTTTATGTAAATTAAAATTAGAGAAGATAATAATGAAGAGCAGCAAGATATGCATAAGGAGTTGGGTTCGAATTACCTTCGTTCCAGCTTAAAATGAAATTGCAGACGAGAGAAAGACGCTGAATATTGGAGAACACACAATCACACACACACACACATATATATATATCTATGTATATTTATAAAACCTTAGAAATAGCCTGCCAGAAAAAGAAATACTTAGGTATATTAGATTTATATAACTATACGTACGCTGTATTTATTAAAATTTAAAACAACGGGAGGAGCAATTATCGGAAGTGATCGAGCTCACCATAAGGCCCTTGTGCCCCTCTATTCCACCTCTGCACGTGTACCACCCCTTCCACCCCTAATGGTAATTGGTTTGAGAGCTGGTTATGTACTTATCCCAGGAGTGAGTATGGATTTAAATTTTAACCGTGTCGCGGATGCGGACTGGTTGTAAGAAATATCTACCTCGCCTAAGAAGGTACATAAAATAAAATAAAAATAAATAAACGAACTTTATCTCTTCGGTAGAAATTATACAAGAATGAAAAATAAGAAAGAAGAACTATTATACAATTTTTAAATAAAATATTATTCTAAATAATATAAGTTTTTAATTATAATATTATCCTCTATAAAGTATAATATTATAAATATTATTAGATATAATAGTAAAAATAATTAATTTTTTTTTTCTTCTCTCTTAATAAATATAATAAATTATAAACTTAGTTTTTCTCCTATCCCACTCTAGGGATGTTTCATACAAATTTTTTTTTTTTTTTTTTTTTTTTTAACGAACAGAGCATTATACTTTTATTTTTTAAAAAATAATTTATATAAATAACATATATCTAAGAAATTATTAATATTATATAAAATAAAGAATATATATATAATAAATCATAAATATTGTTGTCTCAAATATTTATGATTTATTCTATATTTTTCTTTATTTTATATAATATTAATAATTTCTTATGCAATAGATATTGTATAGTACAATCTATATTATATTACAGTATATTATAATTAATTACAATATTATAATACATTATATATTTTATTACATGTAAGAAATATTTTTGATTTATTATAATATACTATATGTTATATATATTATATATCACATAATAATGTTATACATAATGCATATATATGTATTTATAAAAATAATTTGTGGCATTTTCGTCTTAGTATATTTTATTTTGTACTTAAGTATTAGGTATTATTAAGAATTGTGATTTTTAATTAAATATTATATTTTATTATCAAAAAAAATTGAATTGCTTACATTGTTCATATTTTAAAACTTTCTCGTACTAATGAAAAAATTAAAAATTATTGTGTACACCTTATGACAAATATGTCTTATTAAATACAGTTATTATTTTTTTGCTTTCTAATTTCACTAAAAAAAAAAAGTACATATATATTTTTACTTTCTTATTGCGTGCACTTCCGAAATGTTTTTAAACCTTGGCAAAAGACACAATTGCCCCTCCAATCACTAACCATCAGATGCAACCATACGTTCAAGTGATCACTTACTAGTGTGTACTTTCGACTTTAGGGTTTCAAAAAGGTTGCTCAGATCTTTGGTGGAGCATAGTATCCATTGATAAAGAAACATCCTACGTTTTTTTTTTTTTTTTTTTGAATTTGAATTTGAAAAGTTTTGCTTTTCCTCGTTCTTATTTCATTCTATTTAAGAGTCGCATTTTCTTTCAAGACCCAATAATCTAAAAACACAAATGATTTATGCGAGTCGGAGTTTCGTACCGAACATTTCTGAAAAGTATTTACGTTTAAATAAAAAATATTAATATTGCAAACAGTTACTTACCTAAAGAAAAAATGAAAAGACAAAAAAGGGAAATGCACAGTGTTGATCATTACCGTGGGTTGAAAAAGTTGTTCAATTCTGAAAAGTTGCCTACAAAATGTTCTAGATAAGCTTACGAATTTTTTAACCCAAAAGGATATTTTTTAGTTCAAACAGTCAACAGTAGACTGGTAGTTAGTCAGTCGACTGATAAACAACTCGTCCACTCTCCGTATGGTTTTGCTATACAATTTTGCCACAGGTGTGCTTTTTACCGACGCAACCCACCTTACAGTCATTCCTATTAACGGTTCTTCATTTCAATTTGTAATCATTTTTTCGTAATCATTTTTTTAAGAGTACGATACAGTTATATGCTTTTATAAAATAGTCAATTTGACTAATTTGTACCGATATTCGTCACGTTACAAATGCAAATCATGATTTTATTATGCTGTGTTTGGTGTGCAGAAATAGAATGAAATGTAAGTGGGAATGAAATGAGAATGGTCATTCTCATTCTCATTTTATTATTTAGTTGTAAAAATGAAATGTGTAGGAATGGAATGATAATAATCATTCTAGTGTTTGGTTGGACCAATTTAAAATTTTGAATGGAATAAATTTTTAATTGAATTCTCCAAAATATCCTTCTTAGTAACAAATAAATTAAATTAAAATAACAAAATGATATTCTCTAATAATTTTTAAAAAATAAATGGTGGCAGTGGCTGTGGTGGATGGTAGAAAGCGGTAGTAATGTAGGTGGTGGTATTGGAAGGCAGCGGTGGTGGCAATGGTGGAAATTAGTGGCAGCAGTGGTGGTGGAAGGTGGCAGTGGTGTTGGTGGAAGGCGGTGACAGCAGTGTGGTGGTTGTGGTGGAAGGAGATAGTGGTGTGACTATAGTGGTAGTGGAAGGCAGTGGAAGTGGCGGCGGCGGTGGTGGTGGTGGTGGAAGGTGGTGACAATAGTGGTGGTGGTGGAAGGAGGCGGCAGTGGTGGTAGTGGTGGCGGTGGTGGTGAAAGGTGGTGGTGGTGGCGGTGGTGAAATGTGGTGATGGAAGGTGGTAAAAGGTGATGGCGGTGGTGGAAGGCAATGGCGGCGGCGTTGGTGGTTGTGGAAGGCGGCGGCAATGGCGGTGGTGGAAGGCGGCGGTGGTAGTGTAAGGCTGTGGTGGAAGGTGGTGGTGGTAGTGAAAGGCGGTCGCAGTCGTGGTGGTGGAAGGTGGTGGCGATAGCAGTGGTGATAGGTGGCGGTGGTGGTTGTGACAAACGATGGCGGTAGCAGTGGTAAAAGGCAGTGGCGGCGGTGGTGGTGGTAGATAGTGGTGGGCGATGATGAAAGTCGGTGGTGTTGGAAGGCAGTGATAGTGGTGATAGTGGTGAAAGGCGGAGATGATTGTGGTGGAAGGTAATGGTGGTTTTTTGACTTAGAATATGAGGGTGTTTTGGGAAGTCTATTTTTTAAAATAAATTACTTGGGAATGGAATGGCCATTCCATAGGTTTAGTTGTGAAATGGATTTTTATTCCTAACAATGAATTTTCATTCCAATAGAATAGCCATTCCCACTTTAAGTTGCATATCAAACAAATGAATGGTTGGAATGGACATTTCAGTCCATTCCATTTATGCACACCAAACGTAGTATTAGGTCATTCTCAACATGAAATGAAACAGTTTAATATTAATCTAAATAGACCTTAACATTACCAGGTCTCCACATGCTATCATATTCTTCCTCGTTAACTTTATTCTCCATAACTAGCTTCGGGTCATCTTCTTCTTTCTCTAATGTTACCTTCAATGGGAACTATGTCGTTTTTCCTAAGTGCACTTCAAAATTTTCTTTACACATGTTCAAACCATTTTAACTTTTTTTTTTTTTTTTTTTTCTCATTTTACCTCCAATTTGTGCTACTCCAACATTTCTCGAATGTAATTAACTCTAATTATATTGTTTTCTAATTGGCCAATATTTTGTGCAATAAAGTATGACTCATCTGTATGTTGGGATAGCATGGTTAGAGCATTCGGGATGCATGAGGAAATAGATCATATGAGGGTAAAGTAGAGAGGGAGGGGTTATGGTGTATATGAAGAGTTGAGAGCCTTGTCATTGGTCTTCACACACCATTGTCCATCACATTCTCCACATTAGAGAACCAAATAGAGAGGTAAAAGTTAAGTGCCTGTTTGACTAGTGTTTTTGCTTCGTATTTTTTGCTTTTGCTAGTTTACTGTAGCGAAGCAAAAGTACGAAACATGTTTAGTAATATTTGTTGTGCTTTTGAATAGTACCAAAGCGCTTGAGGCCAAAATCGGAACTATCAAAAAGCAAAGTCCTGTTCAAAAAAATATTTTTTTGAACTTTCTAAAATAACATTTTTAACTAACTATTCAAATTTTCAAATTTGTAACACTTTTTATCAAATATGCTTTCATATTTTTACTTCTAAAAATCTTGTAACAAATTTACGTTACAAAACAAGTTTCTAAATAGTGTTGAATACACTCTAAAGGGAGAAACATTACTTCTGCTTCGGGTCAAATCAAAAGCACAAAGCAACTATAATTGCCAAACAGGCCCTAATTTTGTAACTACTTTTTTGTGGTCCATCACTATTTTACTCTCATATTTTGATTTTTAACCTCATTAAAAACAAAAAAATTAAATAATAGAGTGGATAATGAGCTGTCACACCATACAACATAATGGATAAAAAAATTAAAGTGGATTAGAAATAGATAGATGATACATGTTATAAGTAAGTTAAGATGTTACATATAATTTAGATTTGAAACATATTACGTTTAATTCTTGATGTTATTTGTAAAATATGTTTATTTGTGTAGGTGCAAATATTTGGAAGAAAGAAATTAATTCACACACTTATGAAGAGCACTCGAATTTTATTATTCAACCCAAAAAGAAAAAATTAGTCCGTATATTGAAACTATTTAAAAATTTGTTTGTCATTTGCTTTAAATTTATTTCATGTTTTTATTGATTCAAGTCACATAAAAATAATATATGATACATGTTACAAGTAAGTTAAAATGTTACATATAATTTAGATTTGAAATATATTACGTTTAATTTCCGATGCTATTCGTAAAATATGTTTATTTGTGTAGGTACAAAGATTGGGAAGAAAGAAATTTATCCATAAATTTAACATATTTTACATTATTATGTCATTCAAAAACTTCACTGAAAAACATATTATCTCTCAATTCCTAAAACCCTTAAAATGATAGTACAATATGAGGACAATACATGAGGAATGTGTAAAATAAATTAGACACATATAAAAGCTAATATAATTAATTAATCGATCTATTTTGGGTAAAAAATGATACTGTAATATATATAGTAAAAG